CTCACGGCGATCCTCTTCCTCTCTTCCCCTTCCCTTACAGCAGAACCTATCTCTGCCAGACAGCCGGCTCTGCGACCCCACGTCCACAAGCAGCCCGAGAAGACCACCCGAGTCCGGACTGTCCTTAATGAGAAACAGCTTCACACCTTGAGGACCTGCTATGCCGCTAACCCCAGACCTGACGCCCTCATGAAAGAGCAACTGGTAGAAATGACCGGCCTCAGCCCGAGGGTCATCAGGGTTTGGTTTCAAAATAAGCGGTGCAAGGACAAAAAAAGGAGCATTATGATGAAGCAACTTCAGCAACAGCAACCCAATGACAAAACTGTAAGTGTCTTCAGCCTCTGACCGTGCGCTGCCTTCCTTCCCAAGGAGAAACGCCGGGGCTGTGTCCAGCCCGGCCAGCCTCTGGGGTCGGTCTGAAGCTTTTGATTTTGTGGGGGTTCCCTTAAAAAAAAAAAGAAAATTATACCATTTAGCTATTATCAGCTTGTTTCTGCTGTCAGTGCAATTAAAACAGACCACAGCGAGGAGCTGATATAGGCTGTTCAAGCGAACACGTCTTTCGTGAGGCTAAGGATACGCGGTGTATTAGACTACTCTGCAGCGTGAATTGCGACCTGCAGAGCTTATGGGATGTAATAAGCCCAGCCTTCTGTAATATTTATATTGCAAATGCAGAGGACTCCTTGAGGAGAAAATGACGTTTTCACCCTCTTCAATTGTTTTACACAGGAGTAAACCCAGAAGTAAAACCCATGAGTAAAAGGGGAAATTGATGTATTTTCTTAGCACTTTATGTACTACAAAGTGCATGTGTGTGTTTTTCAGTGCACTTAGCGTAGAAAAAGACAAATGCAATGCAAAGGTTTTGGAATTACTATCGTGTTCCAGGTTACTTAAAATATGCGTAGTACTCATGCAGAAATATATTGAGATCTCCTCTGCGGGCGTATATGCACGTGTCATGCAAACAAGCAGAAAGCGCTGTGTTCAGCAGAGTAAACTGTCTGTCTCCATTTTAAGCCAACTTTTTTCTTTTTTCTTCTTTCTTTCTTTCTTTTTTTTGCCTGTTATTAGTCCACTTGAAGAGGAGTCTGTTATTCTCCCTGTGTATATTGACTGACCTGAGAATGACTATTAATTCATAAGGCTGCCTAGTTAAGTGGAATTTAAGGAGTTTCATTTTACCCTCTTGGAATGCAATAAAACACTATGTTATTAACTTGCCTGAACAATCTATTCGTCGAGGCTCGGAGTTATTTTGTACACAGTGACTGCACCATAGGGCATACTGGGAGGGCTGGGGTTTCCTTTTTTTTTAATTTTTTTTTTTATTTTTTTTTTAAGAGAGCAGTACTGACGTACCCCAGGTTTGCCGTGCAGTGGATATACGATCCAGTTAAGGTCACGCAGGACAAAACCAGCCTGGATGCGACACAGAAAGGCAGTATAGTTAACCGTTTCTTGTGCCGAGCCGTACGTCTGCAGCCAAGATACAGAGTGCTCGTGTTTAAGAAAGCTCGGGACGGAGGGGGTATGCCTTGGGGGAAATAGGAGGATTAAAGGAAAAGAAAGTAAACTTCCACCGTGATAAATGCAGCGGGTAGAAATAGACTGACCTAGAGTAGAATAGAGTAAGACATTCACAGCGGATTAACAAAGCAAATACAAGCGACTGTATAGATAAGATAGAAAACAGTTTATTGACTCAGCGCTTATATATAATAAAGTTAACCGAGCTCATTAACATCTTTTGCTGGGCTGTTTACAGAATATCCAAGGGATGACAGGAACTCCGATGGTGGCTGCTAGCCCAGAGAGACACGACGGTGGTTTACAGGCGAACCCGGTGGAGGTGCAGAGTTACCAGCCGCCCTGGAAAGTACTGAGTGACTTCGCCTTGCAGAGTGACATAGACCAACCTGCTTTTCAGCAACTAGTAAGTTTCGGTTCCCAGCTGGAGCAGGCCAGCCTTTACCCGGGGTAGAGCAATGGGGGGTTCTCTAAATGTGCCGAATGCCTTCAGAGAGACGAGCAATCCAGACTAGCTGGATTATCCTGAAATTGCAACGTGGGCACGGTGGCACTCGGTAAACGTGGCGAACTGAATTAATAGGGCTTGTTGCAAAGTCTGCCTTAGTGCACAGCAGAGCTCTTGCTGAGTTAAGTGGGAGGTGGATAAGGCCTGACCCTGGTCTGAGAATAATTCAGCTCGCACACTACTGAAAACTGAAAGCACCCTTATCCAGAGAACTAAAACTTTCTTCATGTGTCATATAATTCTCTGGATATTTGTGAAAAGTTTCTAAAATGTGCCCCTCCTATCTTCAGGCCAATTTTGCCTATATGCCATAGAGTGTATTTTAAATATACTACTGCAACATCAGCCTGTGCCCTTGTTTTGTCACACAAACACAAATAGCTCAATTAAATTTTTAAGTCCTTGTTTTAAACATATACCTCTAGATATAACTGTATATGCCCATATACACACAAATATATACAGATATACAGTTTACATTAAATATTGTACTTTGGAAAGGGAATTGTTAGTATGTATTCACGTGAAAAATTCAAACAATACAATAAACTGCCTTAAGCCAGAAGAACACAGACCTTTTAGGATAAATTCTGTTCTTAACACAATTCCTTATGCCCGCGTCATTTGGGTGCTCATATGGGAACATATAATCTACAATACTTAGGCCCAACAGGGTGAATTAAGGACAGAAGTTCCATCTTAACTCAATTTCCTGGCCTAAGTGTTTTAAAACCAGATCTTTAAAACAGTAAGGTACCTTGTGTATGGTTTTTCAGTGATTCAAAACTGTACTTAACAATGAAGAATTAACATACAGACTTTTTTTTGATCTGTTGGGCATTTTTCAACATGGAGCGATGGAAGCCATGTCTAGAATTGTTTGCAGACCTTTCCAGTTTAGTATCACGCTCTGTTGCAGGATCGCTTTTGTTTTGCCCAGTGGCAGGCTGCAGCGTGCTTCCCTCCCCTGGCACATCCTGCTCACTCGGGAAGCTGTAGCACAGCAGCAAGGCTGTTTGCATCATTTTACCTCCAGAGCAACCACCGGTTTTCCTGCTTTGATCAAGCTGTCAAGCAGACACAAGACAAATTGATCTGCTTCTGCTGCCTTACTTATTGGGCCTTAACAGAATAGCAGACTTTAAAAACCTTTGATGCAGTGAGTTTTTGTATGGAGTAAGTCTGAAAAAAGAAACAAAACAGGCAGAATGGAAGATGGATAGCCCAAATACGCACATGCAAATAGCTAGACAGATCACTACATAGATTAAATTTTATATACATTAGACATAATGTCTGATACCAAAAAAGAGTTAAAATGAAGAATTGTGGATGGAACAGACAGATATTCTACCGTTCAAGGCATGTCTCTAATCTGGAAAGGGCCTTAATCACAAGATCAGCCAGCTAAATAGATGACAAAGAAATGCTTTTGGATTAGTAAAGCTCCACCCTTCAAATCATGCCTTTTCCCAACACTGCTCCTAAACTAACGGGAGCCGCAGGGAACATTAGGATGCAGAAGTGTGACCTTTTTTATCAAACTGGCTCTCGTTAAAAAGAGATAGCACCGGCTTCAAATCACAAATGAAAGAGGATGGCTTGTTTCAAATGCCTTCTGCTCCCGGAGTCTCCTTCCAGGTTTATTTTAGTATGTGCACAAAAGGGGAAAAAAGCAACCTTGCAGTTTCGTGTCAAAAAACCACATGCACTCTTAAATAATTGACTAGAACATCCTGTTGGGATTGCCACTCTTGCAAGACAGGGAAGAAGGCCTCATTAATAAATTTGTTTGTTTATTTGCTTGATTTTTCAGTCTTCTTTTTTTTAAGTTTTTTTTTTTTTTTACCTGCTTTTTTTTTTGGTGATTTGGCCGAAGGCCTGAAGAATATTCTTGTGAAGTCAATGAGGAAGCTAAACAAAGCAACAAACAGTGACAGAGCCTCCCGTGGAGACGTATCAGGCTGTCCAGCTGCATGCCTGTGTATTTGTTTTTATGTTCTTCTTTGTCTGCTACTTTTCTTTGATTGTTACGGTTGTAACAACACTTCTTTTTCTTATTTTTCTGTCTTTCTTTTT